TTAGCCAAAACTAGAATCTCAGTTTTGGCTAGCCAAAAGTGGAATCTTAGTTTTGGCTGAAGAATTGTTAGCCAAAACTAGAATCTCAGTTTTGGCTAGCCAAAAGTGGAATCTTAGTTTTGGCTAGCCAAAAGTGGAATCTTAGTTTTGGCTAGGCAAATCTAAGATTTGCCTGAATTCCAGTTTTGGCTACAACATATATATATATCAATCGTACTAACTGAATAGAAAGAGAAAGAACTTTCTGTTTTAGTCCTTTCGTTTCTACTAGAAGAGTAACTTTTATATTAAAGGTTGTCAGTTCATACATATGCAAATATATTTCCATCTCCTTTTCACATCCCTTCAAATCACTGGACAGCACAAACACATCCGCATTTCTCCTTAAAAATCTTCCGCCTGAATACTTTAACGTTATCAGCATGCTTTTTAATCGGTGTGCCGAAAAGGGAGCTTTTCTTGAGAGAGCTAAGTGTGCACGGGGTATATGTTTGTCCAAAGACGGTTTGTACCCAGCGGAGGATCGACTATGATCTACTTCCCTCTTACCAAACCTTGGAAAGTGGTTCGAAAGAATTATAGTTGAGCGGATTGAAACATGGTGTAGTGAAAACGGAATTCATATTGATGAACAATCTAGTTTTACAGCACATCGTCGTCTTCAAACCCGAATACTCTCTATAGTTGAAGATTTAAGATTGACAACTGCGGCGTGTAATCGCCCAGCACTGACAATCTTTATCGATTTTCAGACTGCTTTTGACAGGATGTGGTATCCTGCTCTGATGAAAACCTTGGAAGATCTGGGAATGCGGGCTGATCTAAGACGATGGATCTTCGGATGGTTGCAAAACTGTTCGATGACTATTAGCCATGGTGACACAGAGTCCAGAATCTTTCAGGTGGATGTCGGAGCACCACAGGGATCCGTTTTGGCTGCATTACTGTTCAGACTGCACATATACTTTTTGCCCTCGTATTTCCCTCAAGTATTGTCTCACCTCTATGCAGATGATTTAACGTTAATTTTAAAAGGAGCATTGGAAAAAAGACTATCTGATAACGTAAAATATTTAGAAAAACAAGCCAAAACAATCTTGAAACAACTCGAAAAATTTGCGGATGACCATATTCTGCCAGTTAACGTAGCAAAAGCAAAAGCTATGCTTATCCACAGTGCTGTTACAATAGATAAACCATATATAGTATACAAAAGCATTCCAATTGGATACGTAAAAAATCTCAAATGTTTAGGGGTTGAAATTGGTACTAAGTTAGGGTGGCAAAAACACATCGACAGCAGACTAAAAATGGCGAGAAATGTCTATTGTGGTCTGAGAAAAATTTTTCACACTATACCAAAATCTGAGGTGAAAATAAGAAGAAAAATGTTTTGTGCGTTTGCGCTACCGCATTTTGTGTGGCTTTTCTTTATCTGGTTCTATTTCACAGACAAACAAAAAATACAAATCGAACATGTATACTGTACAGGAATGAGACTGGTGTATTCCTTGTGGGGCTGGGATGATCTAACTACGATGATTCTGAGCATAGACAATTCTCTGAGAGATTATATTTACAGTTACTGGGAAAAATTTAACAAACACTTAGAAGAATCCCCTGAAGCTGTTGCATATCAGCAGACATGGTCTGCATTCCTAATCGCCACCTCCCCTGGGAATTCCAGTTTTGGCTACAACATATATATGTGTTTTTTTCATGCCTAGTTTTCATGTACAGTATAGCTCTCTTGCAAATGACTGCATGGGCAGTTGAAACGTCGAACAATTTTTAAGTTTTAATTTAATTTGATCTTTATTTTTAATCTTAATAAATATCCCACTGACGACGACACAATAAAAAATAAAAACCCGAAATATTGGAAAGAATACTTTTTCTTCTTCGTTCTGGAAGAAAAGAAATAAACCTATTATTAGATGTATTTTCGCCTGTCTCGCTTGCTCTTTTCTCGTAGCGCTGCAACTATTTAAAATAAGATGAATGATTCTCGTTTTCTTTCAAAATTCTTCACCATTCCATTCCAGAATAGGCGCTTTTTCTTTTGAAAGACATAACAGACCGGCGAGAGCAAATATAGCAGTTAAAGTCTAAACGAAGCCACAAAAAGTCATCTTAAAGCGTTGAATTACTCACACCATTTTTTTGTTCACACCGAGTTTTGCACTTTCATCACTTAATTCTTTAACTGTGTGACGTCCACTAATACAAGTACTATATCTTTTCTTGATTCCAATAAAGGTTATCGACAATTGATTCGGGAGGGTTCTCAGTAATTCATACAGCAGATAAAATTGTACATAAGAAAGATGTGGACTGGAAGAAGGTCTTTTATATGCGATATTAAACTAGTATAAGAAAACAAATATATATTGTGCAGTAAGATAAAATGTGAAAAGGAGATGGAAATATATTTGCTGGCCCCCTTCTCCACCCACCTAGGCAACGTCTTAAAAGATTATAGAAAACCTCTTAAAGTGCGTTAGAAAAGCCTTTACACATAGAAAAACTCTTATACTTTTTCAAGAGTTTTTCTGTGCCATTGAAAATTAAGCATAAATTGTTAAAAGTCGTACGAAACTTCAGATTCTGGCCCACATGGACAGCGCTGTTAAGCGGTTTTTCTTGTCGGGCTATAAAGTCAAGGAATAGGTGGCCATTCCAGAAATTCACTCATTAATACACTTTTGATCGTTTGGTTTTCAGCGCGTTTTTTCTTTTTTCCTGTATAAACATTAATTTTTATATAAAACGTTTATTTCACATCAGAAGACGCGGTATCTTTATTTTTGTGGATCTTGCCACACATTAAAGGTATATAGTGGACTTGAAATTGATATTGCAGAACATTTGACTACGCTTCATGAAACGTTTAGTCAAAGGTTAATGAATTGACGACGAATGATCATGTTCCACAATTTGCTGATCTATAAATTTCATAATTTTTATTCTTTTTTCTCAGTTAAGTGTTATGTCGGCTACATCAGATATGAACTTACTTGGCGATTATTATGCTACCGATTTTACTGTGGGTACTTTCGAAGTTGGTGGACGTACATTTCCTATTGAAGATGAATATCTTACCGAAAATACAGATAATTATGTACAAGTATCGGTTATTAAAGCAATTGAAATTCATAACAGTAAACAAATAGGCGATATTTTAGTATTTTTAAGTGGACAAGATGAAATTGATAATGCTATCAGTGATATTAGTGGAAAAATTGATTTGACAACAGCTATCATATTGCCATTGCATGGTAAACTAACAGAAGATGATACAGTTAAAGTATTTGAAAAATATCATATATTTTTTGACTTGATTATGCAGACTTAAACCATATGAACGATCTTGATTTTTCGCTATTCAGAATATTTGTTTTTACTGCTGCTCAGAATATAGTGGCAGTGTGAAATTCTGAAACTAGGAGAGTCTCAAACTCTGAAATTCAGAGATTCTCAATGTTTCGGTATTCTGACTAAGGTGAACGTAGAAAAGTCTGAAATACTGAGACTTTGAAATTGCGAAACTCTTCTCTCCCTTATATATAGAGAAACTATGATAAATCGAAAGCGCACTAAAACCGCAGAAACATAATCGAAGATCGATTATTTTTTTCGCAGTGTCGAACATTTTTGGATGCTTATATTTCTGTAATAAATCATACCAAAACTCTTTTTTCTCTTAAATTTGGTAGAGCAAACAATTGTGAACAAATGAGACATTCCGCAGCTGCGAGTGATTTTTAATAACTGGTTCGGAACAATTTGGTGAATGCCCTAACATCGACTTTTAATCGGTCGTTATGGTTAAATCGCTGTCGTTATGGCCTGTTTTATTCAGTTTTCTTGTTTCTCAAGTATTTGTTTTTCTCTGTTTCTGTTGTTTTCTCAAATTGGTTGTGATTATATGTGCCTTCGATACTCTGCTCGTGTGTTATATGCTGTTTTATGCTTTGCTTGCAGTAAAAGGTAAAAGCAAATAGACCATAACGACAACGTTTTTACCACTAGAAAAATTGTTATTGAAACATGCACCGCCGTGATAAGACTAATAAGAATGGTTGACTTGTTTACATTACTATTAATATCATTAACTATATTAGTTCTTGTTTCATTTGTATCGATCAAGAACAAAAAGAAAAATGTCATTAACCAATCGATTCCGTTTGTTTCCAATTGTTATCCAATTATTGGCCATCTTTTATCGTTCGTATTTAATCAGTCAAAGTTTGTTCTTGATTGTCGTCAGCGTTACGGATCAGTATTCCAAATTAAACTGCCATCAAAATGTATGACCTTCATAACAGATCCACGTGATTGGACAACAGTTTATGGAAATTCAAATTTCTGTTTAGCAGTTGACGATGTTTGGATAAAAATATTTGGTATGAGTGGAAACAGTTTTAAACATAAAGAAATTTATGATGAAGAACATCGACTGTACACCAGATATTTACAAAGTAATGGTCTCAATGAATTAACACAACAATTCGGTAAATATCTTCGACAGTCTATGTCAAACGATAAAGCGGCATTTGAGAACGGACAATGGAAATATTCTGGGTTGTTAGAATTAAGTCATTTAATGATTTACGAAGCATCAACTCGTGCATTGTTTGGTGATATAAAACCATTAGAATTCCAAAAACAATTTAACATCTTTGATGAAAAAATGCATTATTTTTTCGCATTCTTACCGAACTTTATCTACACTTTATTTTGCTCAGAAGCACTGAAAGCACGTCAATCCTTAAGCAAAGCATTTTTATTAAACCAACATTGTAACAATGAAAGTGAATTTATGAAACATTATTTAGATTTAATACATGATCATCCGGAATGGTTTTCAAAAACTGATGCTGGTTCGAAAAGTCTTGGATTGCTTTGGGCAGCACTTGGCAATACTTTTCCAGCTACCTTTTGGTCATTGTACTATATTCTACGCGATCAAAAAGCACTTGACGATATTCAACAAGAAATTCAACTCTCTTTGCCGGATAATGAATTATGGACATCAGAAATGTTAGCGAAATGTTCCAAACTGGATAGTGCAATAACTGAAGCCATACGAATGGCTTCCAATGCAATGATATTAAAATATTGTCGTAAGCAAACACATATTCAGTTACATGATCAACGTCAATTGACAATTGAAAAAGGAGATGCAATTTCACTATATCCAATGGTAGCCCATTACGATCATCGTCTATATCCCGAACCATTTAAATTTAAATATGATCGTTTTCTGGCCAATAAACAAATGCTAGCAAATTTAGAATTGGAACAAGAAAAAATCGGTTCTATTGGATTTCTACCATTTGGCTATGGCAAGACTATGTGCCCAGGAAGATTTTTTGCTCGAAATCAAATGAAAATATGCGCAGCAATGATATTGAAATACATTGATTACGAATTTATTAACTTGAATGATGAGCCCAAACAGAGTCGATACCGTGTTGGTATTGGTATTGCATCGCCTGACCATGACATTCAGATACGTTATAAATATAAATCATTTTCTGCCATACATGACTGATGATTTTCAATCTGAGTACGACATTTTCAATTAAGACGAATAGATATGTTCCAATTTGATGGATCAGAATTACGTTTTACTTACTACTTCTTTTAAAGTCGAGAGCGGTCATGTTTGATAGCTGATGTCGACCTGTTTGTTTCGCTTGCTTGTTTCTTTGACAGCCTAAATTTTGCGAGAGAGACGTCCTTTTTTAAGGCTAGTAGGCATAAAAACATAATGAAGACGATGTATTTAATAGAAGAAAGGTTACTGTATCTTTACTTCTCGGATATCGACGGTACAACAACAGCACAAGCCACTCTATTCTATCATTTTCAACGCAACTGAGTTAAGATATACAACTGTTCCTCCGATTATTTCCTTTTCTGTGAACAAGTGATATCAGGAAGACTGATGAAGAATTTTGAAGAAAAGCAATAATTACGAAAGATTAATTTGTGGAGCAAAATTGATCATGTTTTTCTTTACACGCTTCAAATGTTCGCAGCCAGCTGTTTTTGTAAAGAATTGCTTGCTGTGCACGGGACTGTTAGAAAATCAGAGAGAGAGTGAGAGAGGAAAGTTTCAAGTCTCAAAACTTAAAGGTACTCTATTTCTGAGTTTTAGAAAATGAGTAAAAGAACGAGAAAACTAAAGTGTACCGTACAAAAAGGATATTGGATAAATGTGAAATATATACGTCATCTTATTCGGTTTCTTAATGCTCTTTCAAATGAGATGCTGCTCGAAATTATCAAATAAAAATGTCGATTTTCTTTCTTGTTGCCAAAATACTGATTTGAATGCATTCATTCTTCTTTCAAATAAAAAACCTATTGATTGATTGATGTTGCCACATTCTCAGTAGATCAATGTACGCTATCAAAGGAATCTTTTTAGTTTTTCAAAAGACAAAGCCAAAAGAAGATGAAAAAACTAGAGTCGTTCATTTTACTATCTCTGATCTGGTTTTCAATGGTGTATATAAATGCTGAATTAGATAACAAAATCTGTCACTTTATTAGTCGAGTGTTACGTGAATCCGTTAATAATACTTGATCTACGATCACAATACGCTGATAATTTATTCTAATACTGCTTTATCACAGAATTCATCTGTTCACAGACGACAGTATTTAAGTGTGCATAGTTCGGGTGCTTTCTAATGTTTCTTTCGTTTTCACACATATTTCTTCTGTGATTTTTCTGATGCATTTTATCAATGAATAATTCCGACTCGTATACAAATTGACTTGCACTTGTTTTATTTATTAATTATTCATAATTTTTTGGGAGGGCATTAATTCGGTATCGAGTTCCAGGAATTTTATTTCATCAGCTTGTAAAGCAGAAAATTCTCTATTGAATGACACAGAATACTTCAAAAAAGAAGTTGAGGGTTTGAGAATACAGGCTACGTATATTATAGCCGCTTATGAGGTATTACGAACCGGAATCAAACCATTGATATAGTCGAGTATTTTGCATATCTGGGATGTTTCGTAACGACAGATCACTCACAAGGAAAGGAAATTGAAACGAAAATAACACAAGCATTTGTGGCGTTTAGTATGCTTCGAATGCCGATTTGGTATCGCAAACTATATCATCCGAAGCGAAAACACTTATATTTCGTGCTTGTATTCTACCTGCTCTGTTATATGGAGTAGCTGACTGATTCGAGTTCGAATATAACTACGATTTTACGAACAGAATAGTATGAAATCTTAACAGCCTAGACACATTCGTGTTCAAATTCGAATTCTTTTGGTTTTAAAAAAAAAAGAAACGAATTAAATATCTAAGAATTTCATCCGAGCGCTATAGTCGGAATAGGTAAATATTTAGGATCTGACAGACAGTTTCAAAATATTTCAAAAGGACGGGGGCCGATAAGAGGCAACTAGTTAAACGCCGACGTTCTGTAAATCGGCGAATGGCCAAATATTCCTCTTAAATTTTCTTTAAATTCTCCTTTTTCGCCGTTCACAAACTAGTCAACGATTAAAATTCTGTAATTCTGAGGATTTCGCTATATAACAACGAAATCGATCTTTCGCCAAAAGAACATCACGCTTTTTCCTGCAAAAACGGCGTTTCTCCACAAGAACCCCATGACTTTTCAACAAGAAACCCATTTTTCTCCACAAGTACTTCATGTTTTTCCAAAGGAATCCAAAGGAATCCAAAGGAATCCAACGGTATCCAAAGGCATTCAAAGCAATCTAAAGGAATCCAAGGGAATCCAAAGCAATCCAAAGGAATCCAATGGAATCCAAAGGAATCCAATGGAATCCAAAGGAATCCAATGGAATCCAAAGGCATTCAACGCAATCTAAAGGAATCGAATGAAATCCAATGGAATCCAAAGGAATCCAATATAATCCAAAGGAATCCAGTGGAATCCCAAGCAATGCAAAAGAATCCAATGGAATTCAAAGGAATACAATGGAATCCAAAGGCATACAAAGGAATCCAGTGGAATCCACGAAGTCCAATGGAATCCAAATAGAATCCAATGGAATCCGTTGCAATGGAATCGAAAGGAATCCAATGGAATCCAATGGAATCCAATGGAATCCAATGGAATCCAAAGGCATTCAATGCAATCTAAAGGAATCCAATGGAATCCAATGGAATCCAAAGGAATCCAAAGGAATCCAAAGGAACCCAGAGGAATTCAATGGAATCTAAAGGAATCCAAAGAAATCCGATGGAATCCAAGTGAATCCAACGAAGTCGAAAGGAATCCAAAGGAATCCAATTGAATCCAATGGAATCGAATGGAAAGCAACGGAATTCCTTTGGATTCTTTTGGATTCCATTGGATTCCTTTGGGTCCATTGGATCCCCTTGGATTCCTTTGGATTAGGTTGGATTCCTTTGGATTCCATTGGATCTCGTTGGATTCCATTCGATTCCTTTGTATTCCATTGGATTCAACGGAATCCAAATTAATCCAATGGAATTCAAGGAGATCCAATGGAATCCAAAGGAATCCAGGGGAATTTAATGGAATCCAAAGGAATCGAGTGGAATCTAGCATTATTTTTAAGCAGAAAATCTAAATTGTTAAGTGTCGAGATATTGTTATGACACTGTAAAAATTAAAGTGTACCCGATGCACGATGAAATTGCACATCACTGTGGACTGAAAATGCCTAGCCTGAAGATATGTAGATGAAGATAGCCTGTCTAGTGTACGGAGAACACACCGGAACGTGCTCATTTAAGCAGCTGCACATCATTTTAGACTCCAAATGGAGTCTTGGAGAAAAACACACTGGCGGACAGACTTTATTTTCTTTTACAGTGTATCGAAGCAGAAAATTAGACTTTTTAAAAAAATTCCACGAGTACCAAAATCGGTGCATTAGGAAAGCTAATGAGATGTTTCGTTCAGTATTTCATGTTCTTTCAAATGAGACGGCTCACAAGATTATTGACTTACTTTGCCTTCGATAATATAAAGTAGTAGAGATGCCTCTTTTTCACATTAGAATTGAAGCAATTCTCTTTAAAAGTTTCTCTAAAACTAATTCTCTAAACAAAACGAATGAGTGTACGGATATAAATCTCGAAGGAAGGAAAAACAGAACGCGCATTCTTTTCAAAAACAGACCAGAAAGAACAGTTATCTTGGTCTTTTTGTATATATGTTCTTCATTTTAGATCCAATTTAAGGCTACGTTAGGACATTTGGTCTGTAAACACTTTACAGGTTAGGTCAAATATTTGAAGTGTTTCAATGATAATGATGGCGAAAACATTGATCATAGTAGCGGTTCTATTATTATCAACAACAACAACAACAACTTTCAGTGCATCGCTTGCTTCAATACAAAAATTACGAAAATTAAAATCTGATCCAACAGAATCACAAAGATTACTTGACTTAGGTGCTGGTACAAACGTATATAAATTGGACTTTTTAGCATCAACGCACGGTGTTGTTGCTGGACCTGGCGGAAAAGAAATTCAAGCATCGGTAAGTACAGTAGTTTCTTTCCTAGATGCTTTTTTTTTGTTCTTTTCTTCCCTTTGTTTTATTTTTCTCTTATAGATCTATGATTTTCCGGCTTTAACCGCACAAGGTACTGCGATGATTGTTGGCTTTCTAAAACCATGTGGATTTATCTTACCACATGTACATCCGCGTGCTACATCGATGTTTGTTGTTACTGAAGGTGATAATGTTCAAACTGGTTTTTATAATGATCACACAGGAAGATTTGTAATAACACCATTAAAACAATATCAGGGAACTGTATTTCCACAAGGTGCATTACATTTTGAACAAAATTTAAGTTGTAAACAAGCTGTATTTGTTGCCGGTTATAATAATGTTGATCCCGGTAAGTCTGACCTTTTTAAAAATGTTATTTCTATCGGCATACGTACAAAGGTTAGTTAGACCACTTGTCCACGTAACTCTGCTGCTGGAGTGTAACAGCGTCTCGTTTTTAGAAAAACGTCAATAACTTTTCAATAAAAAGTCGCAGAGACTTTAGAAACCCTGCATCCGAAAGAGATTTGAAAGCGCTTTAAAACCAGATCAAAGCAAATTCTTCGAAAAGTTTTCTTTTAAGAAAAATTTCAACGAAATATTACACTACTCAGTTTTCGTTCTTTTGAATTTGAAAGATCGAGCTTAACCGCTTAACAAAAAGTTTTTCAGTTATTCGTTTCAGTTATTCGTTGAGACTTCTCGGAGATTTGTCGAAAACTCCCTTGAAAGTCCTCCCTGGTGAGTCCCGAGAAAGTTTTCAAAAATCCCTGAAGAGTCACCAAACGGACTGACCAGAAAGTTTTTTCACCGACTCTCTGGTGATTTCTTCAGGTAAAGTGGAGTAAGTACTGAAAACACTTGCATAGCAATAACAAAACGGATACAAGAATTTCTGCTTGGATTGAAAGTTTTTCATTTTTCTTTGGGGGAAAAACGGGGAAGCCAGAGAGTAGAAGGCCGAAACAATCTGTTGTCTGTAAAACACTTTTATTGCTAATATTTCATGAAAATATACTTTATCTTCGTAGTATTTTATTTTATTTATTTACAATTAAGACGTTTCGATCGCCATGTGCAACCTTCTTCAGTAAAACATAAAATTAATAAAATACAATTAAAAATATATAAAAGTATATATACAACAATTCCAGTACGCACAGTTGATGTCAAAACTGCAATGTGACAAATTCTTTTTCTTTTCGTATATTTATACTTATACTTTAACTTTATCTTTTGCTCTTTTCCTTTTCACTGGACTAAACTAGGACGACGAAAGGGTAAAAGAAATTTGGCTGTTTTATTTTATTTTATTTTAGTGACTAAGATTAAATTATCCGACGTAAATGTATAACGTCAAAGATGACATTATATTAAATACAAGTACACCTTAAGTAAGATGATTGATGAAAAATGTATCCATAGACCAAACCTATATATACGGAGAATCTCTCAGGTTCAACAAATTCACTCCTTATAATTATGCCTATTCTGTTTCCTAAATTCATATCTGGCATTTAGGTTTCGTTGTGTGGTATCTGTAGTCGAGTTGCTAATATCCTTAGTTACATTTACTGGAAAAAACGGTTCTCCTGATCTTGGTTCAATCCACTGTTTAATAGTAGATTTCCATTGTGGACTAATTTGTTTGCATCGATTATAACCTAAATTTGCTATGGTATACACTGTCTCTAGTGTTTTTCTTCTATTCCAGTTCTTTTCTTTATCAAAAATCATACTGTTTTCAAAATCTGTGAAACATGCGGTACCATTTTCGTGATGCTGTGCCAATTCTGAGCCCTTCGCATCTCTTTGTTGCAGTTTTTTAAAATGTTCTTTTATCCTTCGTTTAAAACTCCATGTCTCATCCACATACATGTCAGCGCACATACAGGGTATACCATATACTCGACAACTAGCTACAGTTTGTAATGGTGCAGCAGGTAGATGATCTCTTAATGATCTTGCTTGAGCCGTTGTTATATTTAAACTGGCAGCAATAAGATCAATTGGTAATTGAAAGAATGTTGATGAGTCAGGATTTAGACCTATAAATAAAGGACGAAGATGATGTAAGAAAGGGATGAGCACAAAGCAGATAATATCGCTTTTTGCACTATGCTTTTCAACAAGCTGGTGACGCATTACACCTTACATATATTAATGTTGCACCCACTCTGTCTTACAGTTTAGAGACATATACAGCTTTGCCGACGGCGGACACTTTTCGAGTTTTCCAGATGATCAATGTGTTAGAGACATCTAAAAGTGTTTTTAAAAGTTGAATAGGGTCTTTTTATTATACGAAGTTAGATAAATTGTATTGCTAATATTTCATGAAAATATACTTTATCTTCGTAGTATTCGCAGAATCTCTCAGGTTCAACAAATTCACTCCTCCGAAATACTGTCAGATCCGCCTTAAGAACGAGTTTTTGAAATATTTTAAACGATGGATATTGAGATATATCCTTGTAAGATACACGACTGGACAGAGCTCGTCGAGATCTATCTGTTGAAGTATTTGTCTCATTTGGCACAGGCTTGAGAGTGAATGTTTTCGAGACATACTGTCAGAAACCGCCTTAAAAAGGAGTTTTTGAAATATTTTGAACGATGGACACTGAGACGTATCCTTGTAAGATATACGACTGGATAGAGCTCCTCGAGATCTATCTGTTCAACTATTGATCACATTTGGCACAGGTTTGAGAGCGAATATTTTCGAGAAATACTGTCAGAAACCGCCTTAAAAAGGAGTTTTTGAAATATTTTGAACGATGGGCATTGGGATATATCCTTGTAAGACGCACGATTCGATGCAGCTCGGCGGGTTCTGTCTGGCACATGAGATGGTTTCGTTGGCACAGTTCTCAGTGCGAATGTTTTATTGAAATATAAATTTTCATGTCTTTTTTGCGTGAGAAAAATCCGTAGTTTGTTTTTTAGAACTTTTCTGTATAATATGGCTGAAAGCTGAACATGTCAGCCGATGGGAAATTCTATTTGGCGTCTGGCACAGCGATGCTCGAAGTTGGCACAGTTGTCAGACTGAATGTTTTTGTAAAATACTGCAATCTGCTGCTAACTTCACCTACGTATAAAAAAAGAGCAAAACGTCGAAGAGGAAAATGTAGAAGAACAAAATGCCGAAAAGTCGAAAGCGGATAATGGAAGAAGGAAAGTATCGAAAGGAAAACGCCGAAAAGAACGAGATTTCTTTCTGTTCCTTTGAAAACTTTTGATTTTCAGGGAACAGAAAGAAATCTCCTCCTTTTCGGCGTTTGCCTTTCGATACTTTCCTTCTTCCATTATCCGCTTCCGACTTTTCGGCATTTTGTTCTTCTACAGTTTCCTCTTCGACGTTTTGCTCTTTTTTTATCGACATTTTCCTTTTCGACATTTTTGCTTTCGATATCTTCCACCAAGACCAAAATCATGAGGAATCTTGGGATATTCGATTGCCACAGCTAGCCTTAGTCGTCCGAGCAGTCATAAATGAATGGACAGGTCAAAATCCTGCATTTTTAATGTACCGGCCGGGAACTTAAATTGCCTCTGGACTTAATGTATGATCCGAAGTTGATGTTCTTGATGAATTAAAATCATTCGATGAGATCAGACGGGCCTATACGGAAAGTCTGAAAGCAATTTTAGAGTCTGCGCATGAATCGTCTTAAGAGAATCTTGAAATAGCTCGAGAAAATCAAAAATCATCCTACGATTTACATCGTAAAAATGCTCAGTTTGCCGTAGGCGAGAAGGTTTTGATGGCAAATACCGCTGGTTCCGCTTTAGGTAAATGGGCGACCAAGCTGGCCGCTAAATTCATCTGTCCTTATCGTATCGCGAGAAAAGTCGGTCCTCTAGATTATGAGCTAATATTTGAAGATGATGGTGCTGTTTTAAGTCCGATTCACGTTGAACGGCTTAGACCATATCATGAACAGAGTGTTCTAATCGGAAATCACTGGTCTCTGATCTTTCATTGTACATATATTGCCTTATTTATAGCTATTTCTAGTTTTCGTTTTAAAATTTTTGCTTTTAATTGTTCTAGTTGCAGTGTGCAACTCCGTATTGCAGCATGAGTGATCATTCTATTCCTTCCTATTCTGTTTTCGCATTATATTACCTTGATGGATTCAGAAAAATATTTACATCAACAAAACGTTTGAGAAACACTTTTCTAGTAAATCTTCTTTACAACAACAGAAAAAGAAAAACGATATATATACAAGACGCTAGTATAGCTGTACGTAAAAGAATGAGAATAAAAATATAATGACGATGATCTTGTACGGTTGTCAGTTGGATAATTTTAAGGCAACTATATTTCTAATAATACTAAGAGGACGTATAGAAGAGTGAGAGAGCAAGAGGTGAAGATAAAATTATTTAAAATAAAAAGAAAAAAAGGTCTATTCGAAGTATTGATTGAGATGTTTGTTCGGATTTGTGGACTTCAAAAGTTTCTTGTTTTCCTTGCCTCCATTCTCAATCATAGAGTGACGAAGATTCGGACGGAGAGAGAAAACAAACTTTTTTCAAGTTTTTCCGGTATTTTACCGCAACTTTTTTTGTTTCCTTTTCCCTCTGCAACACGTTTATCTCGACCGTTTCAGTGTGGCGGTTGGAAATTTTGATGTTTGCAATTATCTGTGCAAAAATGTATAAATCATTATGAAAATGCAATCAATTAGAATAAAAGTATAGTGAAGAGAAATATCTTCAAACCTTTTCTTCTCTTTCTCTTCTATAATCCAAAACAATATTTAGGAAAAATTATTTAAACAAAAGCAGGTAAAAGCTAGAGACTATGTACGACTACAGAAGGTCACAATGACTCTTCATGCACATTCTTGGATGAAAGTCATAAATACAATCAAAGGAAGGGGCCCGCTTTCCCACTGCATTTGGCCCACTGCTTTTTCAACTTCGTTATGGTCACATATTGTAGAGAAAACGATTTTACACATTTTGAACTGCATATCAACCATTACAACATTATAGGGACTTTTTAAAACAACTTTTTCGAGGAGGTACATAAAGCATATCGGTGTTTAACAAAAACGCTTTTCCTCAAAATCTAATATAAAGTTCCGGTAAAGCTTCATATAGAAAAATAGCTCTTGGAAAACTATGCAACATTCTGACTAAACAAACCCTACGTATAATTGGCTCAATCCTTTATAGGTCAAATATGAGCCCGGAAACACCTAAAAGTGAATACACTTGATGTTTTAGCCAATTTACACCCATAGATAAGAGAGGATGCAACTAGTCTTTAGTATAGAAAAATAGCTCTTGAAAAGCTCTGTAATATCTGTTAATAGGAAACTTAACGAAGCCTGACAGCAGGTTTTATAAGTTTAATACTAGACTTTTCCATGGGTCGTGGTTATGCCAAAGACACTCTTGATCACTTTTCTCTATGAAACTAAGGAGGATCTCCAACCATTCGTGCATCATTCGATGCGCCTTGAGAAGCTCCGCAACATTTGTTAATAGGAAACTTAATGACGCTTGACAGCGGCTTTTGTGTATTAAATACTTCGCCACTTAAACCGACAGTGGGCCCAAAAATTGTTCGCCAGCTTTGGTGAAGAAAAACATGAAAGTAGGCCCATAGGGCCTTCTATAAATTAAATGCTACTCTATAGATTGAATAAATGTCGTAGAGAGCTGGGAGACGTCTCGTTTTTTTTCATTTGATTTGCAAATAAAAATGTAAATCACTGAACTGTCCAGAATCGGTGTTAATTAGTATTAATTAATGATTAATCTATATCACAGCA